CCACGGGTGTCAGGGAACCAACTGCTTGAGCCATTATTGCATCCTATGAGGGTACACATTTGGCATGGTGTAATGCAGGAACTTGAAACCCAGGCATTCCTGATATGGGGTATGGATGTCTGAACCAGCATCCTAACCGCTAGTCCAAAGACCCATCCCTATCGTTGACTCTTTATGTTTTGGATACAAGTGTTGTTGGAGACGTGCTTTGCAAATATTTCTTAATCTGTGACTTGTCTTTTTATTTCCTAAATGCTATCCTTACAGCATATATATATATATATATATATATACATATATATATATTTAACTTTAATTAAGTCCAACTTACCAGTGTTTCTTTCCTGGATCATATATCTGGTTGTTGTATCTAAAAACATATCAATAGGCTCAAGGATATCTAGATTTTCTCTATGCTATCTTCTAAGAGTTTTATGGTCTTACATTTGAGCTTTAGGTTATGATTCATTTCAAGTTAATTTCTATGGAAAATATGAGGTCTTTACCTTGATTCTTTTTTGGGTGATAGGGGTGGGTATGTGGTACCTACTGCCCCAGTAACATTTGTTGAAAAGAATATTCTTTCTCTATTAAGTTGTCTTCACTCCTTCACTAAAAATTAAATTTGTGTGAGGCTAGATAATTCTCTTGAATGTATGAATGAATGAACAGACAAACCTGCCAACAGACTGAAAGCATCTTAACACCTGTATAACTTTGACCATTTGGCATGAACTGCCTTGATATCAAGATTATATGCGATATATACCAATGATTCTAAAATGTCCCTAAAGAGAGAGTAAAGTTTTCCCCTATGTGTATTTGCAGAAGAGTAATAGATGCAATATATGAACATGGTGATACTCCACACCACTAGTGGAGCAAGCTTCTGGTGTTGCCTTTAGGTTGAGCTAACATAACTTCATGTTCCGTTTTCTAGTCATCTTCTATTAGTCTTTGAAATGAATAAAATCAGACAGCAGTAGTAAGAGAAACTTAAAATTTGTTGTTGTTGTTGAGCATCCTCTATTTGCCAAACTCCGAACCAGGCTCATTTCAATGACAACTTCATCTAGTTCTCATCTCAGAGATGAAACGCCTGAGGCTTACAGGTGTTACATAACGTGCATTGTCACACGTATGCCATGTGAACCCATACATGTCTAATTTCCAGTGTCTGTCTGTCTGCTGCCCCTCTGCCCACTGGGCTGTGGGTAGTTAATCTAGGACCTTAGGTTTATGGATATTGAACTGGTAGGGAATACATGATGCATGCGGGTTTGGGCAGTAAAAAAGAAAAGGCAATATTTCTGATGCTGGTCACAGGTGCATTTCCCATAATTTCTCCAACCTCATGCAGTTAATCTGTCAGCAATTATATCGAGTATTTTCTATATAACACTACTGCATGTTTAATCTTCCCACAAAATAGAACCCTTTTGAAAAATATACACAGCAAGGGCAAAGGCATACTAGATCGTGAGCCTAATGTTTATTGGTTGAGCATAATATTTAATGTTTAATGGTGGCCTCATCAATGTGGCCTTAGTTCAAGTAGTTTAAATTTTATTTCTCAAGCTAAAAGCCTGTAAAGGTGTTCTAAGTATTTCCTCCCCTAGCTTCAGATGCCATGTAACGGTCAGACACGGCTTGTCTGTGATTGCTCAGGCCCCAGAGCAAGGGGGTTGACCCGCTCCTGTGAGCCCAAGTCGGCAGCTGGAAATTACACCTTGGCAAGAACATGAGTAATTTATGTCTTGTAGAAAGAAAAAAAAAACAACTATTGTCTTATTCCAACCAGAAAGTTTGTTAGCATAGCTGTTTGAGTGCATTTTAGTATTCAAATACAGATGTTCCAAAATGTTTCCACTGTGGGAAGCAGCTGCTGCTATTCTAACACCAAAAAACATCTCAAAGAGATTAATATACAGAGACAGTGTGAACCTTAGTGGTAATACAGCATCTGCTTGGGGTGGGGCCTCTGATTCCCCGTAGATAGTGGGGCTTCAGATTCTCATTAGCAGCCTGCAACCGTGTTTTAGATCTGATTTGATTCTACAGGAACAGGAACAAAGACAAGTGATTAATTTGTAATTCACTTAGCTGATAAATATCATCACATGCTATTTGCCCAGGGGCTGTAAAACACCGGACTTCATTTCCTATGGCAACTGATAGGAATATAGACGTTTGGCTGAGATGACTGACGGATTCAGTGGCCGTTGCCAGCTTGTGCTTTGTAGCGGAGCTCAGCTGCACCAGTTCATAGTCCTACAACATCCCTCCCACACCTTAGTGTGGGGCGCTTCCAGAGCCCTTTGTGGTTTACTCAGGGCACTCGTGTGCTTGACTTCATCTGAGCCCATGCCAAGTTCTGTAAGCGCACACAGTAGCAGTATCAGCATTGACTCACAAATGAGGCTGGCAAGACGAAGAAGCAAAATGGCTTACTAGGATTACACAGCCGAAGCTTCTAACTCCAAATCCTGTTCCACTTTCATCATGCCTCTTTAATTTCAGCGGCTATGATGTGTTCTCCACATAGATGCTGGTCTCCCAGGACCCTCGCCAGGGAGCATCCCAGCCTGACAGCACTTCCTGCTGACTGGAGGAGGCCAGGAAAGAACTAATGTAGTACCCTTCCCTTCCTCCAAACCTTACAGGGCAAATACCCAACTATTTCCCTTGCCCGTGTTCAGAAACTTTTGGTCCGCCATCTCCCCGACCTCCCTGGCACTTAGACACACAAAGAGCCAGAACCAGAAGATCGCAGAGCTGTGATTTGGAGTTGTCATAAAACAGAAGTTGCTGAGAAAAGTGATGATGGGTTATTGTGCTTGCCCAGAACCTTATACAGCCATACCCGTGCAGTGTTCAAGGACTCATTGCCTCCAATCACACCTAACAGTTAGAGCTATCTAGTAAACTATTTACATTCCTACACATTTTGACAAGGGCTCATGACTATGTTTGAAAACTCTGAGTTTCTGGCTTGCTGCTGGAGGCTTCATATGTCTGTCTGGGAAGACGAGGCCAAGAGAAGTGAAACAGGTGAAGATCTTGGATCTGGTCATGGGTGGCGCTCCAGTTCTGAACCGGGTGTGACTGCTTTAAGCCACACAAGGGAAAGTGTGTTCCACCTTGAGGACAGTAAAGGTTTGTAGGTGAAAGATGATGAGGCTCTCTTCTTCTCTGCCCAATGGTGGGCAAAGAAGAACCTAAAAGATAAGGTAAGGGAGCCCCCTGAGTCCCTGGGCCTGTCACAAGGAAGGAAAAAATAGGATGTTGGGGTGGGGCTGCAGGTGGGAGGGTGAGCCATAGAAAGTCTCAGGTATAGTGTGCTGGCAGGAAGTCTGAACCTCAGTCCCAAAGAGGCCCTCAAAGCAGAGCCCTTGGTCCTGGCCATGTCCCAGCAGCACGCTGCTCCCTGACACCATCGCTGTGTTGGCCAGAGTCACACGGCTGCAGCTCTGTCACTCCGTGGAGTTGTTTCTACTCTCTTATCATCAAGGAAACAACCAAAACGCAACTTGCTGCTATTTATCTACCCCCTGCTTTTGCTTTCTAAATCTTTTTTTGGTTGGAACATCTGTGAAATGATCAAAGCAACTTAAGACAGCGTGGAACGTTTTGCAGATACAGCCTTTTCAAGCACGGTGAAAATGATCTCGGTCGTTTTGATCAAGAAGTGCTATTTCACAGGCAAAGAAAGAGTAGTGTAGCAAATCCCCAATCTCCATGAAATATTAATAGCAGCGCTCAGAAGCACGCAGTTCATACAGCACATCTCATCTAAAAGCGCCCTACTACAGGAGGGGCGGCACCCCTCCTTGTCATTCCCTAGCTGGAGGGCTCGGGGAGGAAGACTCGCCCTCTTGTGACACAACACACCCTTCATGCTGTGAAGAAGGGACATCATGAAGAAAGGGGCGAGGGGGCTGGTGGGCTCTAGTTATAGATAACGAAGGGAGAGAAGGCCCGGCAAACTTCCAACTCTTAGAATAAAAAGAAAGCCGAAACAAACCAGCTCTAACTTCCCTTGTGTGTTCTCTGCAAAGGAGTTGGGCATGAAAACCTAGAGTCTAACCCCACCCCCCGTGTACCTGACGAGTTTCTAGTAACTGTGCTCACATCCCCTTTGTGTTCTCGGATGTCTTTTGTGGTTACCTCTACGGACATAGACCCACTTTGATTCAAACCTGCAGGAAACAAAGAAATGGAATCATTTTGTGGATAAGAAACGGCCAAGTGGTTTACCAATATGAAGGAAAGATAGCATCCTTCTGCAAAGAGATACTGGGGTTAGAAGAGCTGCCGGGTGAACAGAGCAGAGTTTGAAGAGTCTGGGTGAGCCAAGGCTGGGAGGGGGCAGACGTAAGGCTGATGGGGGCCTGATGGAGGCCCCCCCATTCAGAAGCACTGGCTGTAACCCACCCACTGTCAGGCTGTGAGACCCATGTCCCCAGAAGCCAGCTGAAGTAGCCCACACGTGTGAAATCACATTGAAGGAACAAAGGCAAGAGAGCCAGAGTCTCCTATGGGTCTTGGCTCAGTCCCTGACCATCAGTGTATCCATCTGCTTTGGAAGAAGATGGAGCAGAGTCAGGCACGGATTTCTCCTGCAACTGTCCTGTGGTCTGTCACATGAAGCAATAAGTTTTGGTTTTCTTTTTAACATTCTCTTAGGCCATAGAGGTTAATAGGTAGTAACAGAGACATAATGCCATAGCAAACATTGGAAAGTTTGATAAATCTTTAAGAAGAATATATGGAATACAAACTGTTTCCATGAGATAAGGTCTAGAAAGCCGGTGATTAAATTGTTGTCTTGTTGGGGGTGGGGGTTGCTGTTGAGTGTGTTGTTTATCTATTCCTCTTACGTCTGTGAACCACTGATAGAAATGCCAGTAGGAACCGGATTGATAGAGGCCAAGTCTGTGAAACTAACTGTGCTGAGACGAAGCAGAGGCATTCTCTGATGTTCTTTCATTTCTCTGCAGGCAGCTTCGTCAGCCCTGAGTAGTCTGGGCCATGTGTACACAGCCATTGGAGACTACCCCAACGCCCTGGCCAGTCACAAACAGTGTGTGCTTCTTGCCAAGCAGTCCAAAGACGAACTCTCTGAAGCCCGAGAGCTTGGCAACATGGGAGCTGTGTACATTGCCATGGGTGACTTTGAGAATGCCGTGCAGTGCCACGAGCAACATCTGAAGATAGCAAAGGACCTGGGAAACAAGAGAGAGGAGGCCCGGGCCTACAGCAACCTGGGGAGTGCCTATCACTACCGGAGGAACTTTGACAAGGCCATGTCCTACCACAACTACGTGCTGGAGCTGGCGCAGGAGTTGATGGAGAAGGCTATCGAGATGCGGGCCTACGCTGGCCTAGGCCACGCTGCCAGGTGCATGCAGGATTTGGAAAGGGCCAAACAGTACCACGAGCAGCAGCTAAGCATCGCCGAGGATCTCAAAGACCGTGCTGCAGAGGGGCGAGCGTCATCCAATCTAGGTAAGCAAAAGCTTGCTTGCAAGGTGCCGCATCAGTGCCATGGGCTGGAGGCAGCCAAAGTGGACCACTGGCTTTTGTAGGAATCTGTGTGCTTGCATTCAAAAGATCTCATTCTATGTGTCATGTCTTTCCTTCAGATAAATTTGTGTGGACTGCTGTAAACCACACAGTCTTTCCTATCATCAGAGTTCTCGAAGGATTACCCACCACTCTGAAATGCTAGAAAAACAAACCACTCCAACCTTCTAATCCATCTAATGGAGAATAGGCAGGCTTGCCTAATTACAGAGAAGAGGAATGAAAAGATGCCCCCCCCCAACAAAAAACTATGTGTGGCCTAAATGAAAGAGAAGTGACTGAGAATTGTCGGAAGTCTTAGAGGAGTTTTCCTTACAAGGATCTCTCTAGCTGGAGGATTTCATCCCCGGAGAGATCTTAATTTTCCTCAAAATCATGTCAAATAGTGTCAGTTTTTGTACAAAGGCACAATTGTTTTTATAAAGAATCTTTTTAACTTTTTCAGTCACTCTTGATCATACTTGGCTGCAATTAAGAAACATAGTAGTAAGAGATAAGTAACTGCTAACCAGCTACTTATTAGAAAACACTGTTATTTTGTCTTTGTATCCTAATGTTATGTATGTGGGCACTTAATAACCAGGAGGGACAGACGTGTCTGGAAGTATGAGCTGAGCTCATTCCTGTGCCCACGGGATTCAGGGTGGGGAAGGAACACGGGGAAGAGCCTGCTGGTATGGGGTGCAGAAGGTAAAACCACTTTTCTTACTTTACCAAACCAGGGCATTCCCCTTCCTGTTTTTTGTTTGTTTGTCATGTCAGCACCAGCCTACCTCTCCTCTTCTTCTGCTTGTTTAACCAAGTCTTTCTTAAAGAGTCGTTAGAGAAAGTCTTGCACATTCTTAGAGATGGCTCTGAAGATGGGCTTGAGATCAGAATGGTGATAGTCCAGCAATCCTAGCAAGGACCATAGACGTATACCTTCAACAGGTGACCAGCACTTACCGAATCCTCACTACTTGCCTCATCCTGGGGTTGTTGTTGAATAGAAAAGGGAGTTTTCAAAAAGAAAAGGCCCTTGCCTTCAAAGAGCTTATCGTTAACTTGTGAAAATATGATAAACCGTTAAGACAGCAACAGCCTTCCTTCCTACTTCACAGTGCTAATGATGTTGTGCTGTCATGGAATCTCTAGAAGGGGGAGAGACTCTAAGGAAACAGGAGCTTGGAATGTTTCCTGGAGGAGGTTAAGTGAGGAGTAAGTGCAATTTTCCCAGGAACAGGATGTCTTTAAAGATGACAAGGGACATATAAGGAGCTGCAGCAGGTCGGCTCCATCTCAGGGATGGTGGCACGACGATACCCTTAGGAATGTGCTGGAAGATCAGTATGAGAATCAGGCAAGTGGTACACCAGTGAACAGGAACTTGTGAAGGTTCTGCAATGTAGGCATCAGAAAATACAGAATAGTAAGCTGGATGGAAGAGAGGGCAATGGGACTTGCAGTTTAGAAAATTCAATTTGTTTAGATTTTAATTTTCCTCTTATGTCAATCTTGATTAGCTGTGTTTTTCAAAAACCTTGTTTATTTCATCTAAGTTGTTGAATTTATTGGCCTAAAAATGTTTATACTATTCCCTTATTATGTTTATAGGATATATATTGCCCTCTTTCATTCTTGGAAAAAAAATGAGATTGGTAGTTTGTGTTTTATACTGTGCTTCCCCTTCCTGCCAGTCTTCCTAAATAGAGTGATTCTAATTCCCAGCTCATTTTCTTTCTGATCTTTTTGGTCTTCTACTTCCTTGGGATGCTCTTTGTGACTACTTGAGGTTGACTCTTAGAGCATTAATCATCGAGTAGTTCTTTTTTTTTTTAAAAAAAAAAAAAAGCATGTGTTGTATGAGAGACATAGTGACAGAAGGAGAGGGAAAAGGGAGAGAAGAGAGAGCCCACACTTCCTGATGATCCACGTGTCTACAATGATTGAGACCGAGCGGAGGCCGAGGCTCTCCCGTGTGGGTGACAGGAGTCCAGTGACTTACATTCTGACTGCTGCCTCACAGCCTCTTCAGCAGCAGGAAGCTGGCGACAAGACCCAGAGCCGGGAATCAAACCCAGTTATTTCACCGTAGCTTGTGTTCATCTTAACCGCTAGGCTTAAATGCCTGCTAACCTTTTCTCTCCTAACAGAAGAGTTAAACGTATGAAATTTCCAATTGTGGTCCGGTAATATTAATATTTATTTTGACTGTTTCAGAGGAGAAAGATCCAATTGTTGTTGAGTTCTTACTATACCTAATCTGTAGGTTGAACTCTATCAGAGGTCTAGAATATGCGTATAATATAATAAAAAAAGACATTCATACTCCTGGTGATGCTTTATTGCAACGAAAAGACACAGAATAAAATCACAGTCAAAGGAGTGGGCACATGGAGCAGAGTCCAAGAGACACAAAGCTTCCAGTCGTCCTCTTCCTGGGAAGGCAGGGACTGCCAGTTCTTTCAAGCAGTGCTGTGTGACAATACACACAGGGTGTGGCCTTGCCATCCAGAGATTAACTGGACCTTGCTTATGTAGTTGTAGCTGGCCACCTGCAGAGGGGGTCTTCGTTTCCAGCCCCCCACCCCCACCGCCCTGGAGTCTGAGTAGGTAGTATGCATCCCGGAGCTGCCAAGGTCTGTCTGCACAGACAGGCGTGGCCAGGGTCCTTGGATCTCAGACAGATGGCTCCAGTGGCTTTGCTGAGAATGAAGAAGTCCAGACCTCCCTTGGGGGCTGGCTGATTCTTCACTGTACAAGATCTGTCTTGTATGTGTTAGTCCTAGAGTTTGTACTTGATTCTTTTCATGTAGCATTCAGTTCTTGTGCTAAAGTTTGCTTGTCGGTTCACTGCATGTACTTCCTCTTTAACGTAGCTGAGCCTGGTAATGACTGCTGCCCTTAAAGCTTGATCTGCTGAGGTTCAGTGGGTCATCTTGGAGCTAGACTTAGTTGATTAGCCACCATGTTTTACTTGTTGCCACAGCTTGATTGAGATATAACTCTCTCTCTCTCTCTCACACACACACACACACACACACTAAAGTCTTTAGTCCAATTCAGTGTTTTTTCTTTCATAGAGTCATAGATTTGTACATTGATTGCCTTTTAAGTGTGAGCCGTGTTTTAATGTTTCTGTGTGTCTGGTGACATGGGATGATACCTGGGTGCTGTGAATGACATTTTACAGAAAGATTGGATTCTGATACATTTCTCTTAATAGTGTTGATTTGTTGGCGGTGGTAGTGTCATTTTACCAGCCTGTTAACCTGGCTGAATTCAAGCCTCATATTCCATTTTCCCTGTCTTACCACTGGATAGTAGATATAAATCTCCGTTTGGGTCTTTAAAAAAAAAAAAAAAGATTATTTACTTGAAAAAAGCAGAGAGAAGAGAGAATCTTCCGCCCACTGATTCAGTCCCCAAATATCTGCCACTGCTGGAGCTGAGCCAGGCTGAGCCAGGCTGAGCCAGGAGCTTCTTCCAGGTCTGCCATGCGGATGCGGAGGCCCACACACCTGGAGCATCTTCTGCTGCTTTTCCCAGTCACATCAAGAGGGAGTTGTATTGGAAGTAGGGCAGCTGGGACACAAGCCAGCACCCATATGGGATGTCAGCATTGCAGACGGATGCAAATCTGCTACTCCACAATGCTGGCCCCCTCTGTTTGGGTTTTCTAACTTTAAACTGAGCTGTTCAGATACTGCCTTGCACGGGGTCAGAGAGAGTCAGGTAGAGTTTATGCTCAAAACCCCAGACTTCTCACTGTGGCTCTCTCTAGAACAATGCTGCAGTTTTAGCCGCACCATATGGTACTGCTTCCAGCGTGCACTTTGGCAAAAATAAATAAGTACAATTAAAAAATTAAAATAGCAGAAATAGCTCCCAGCGTTTGAAAAAAATGTGAAACTTGCCTTCCAAGTTTTCTGCACCTGCTTCTCACTGTGGTTGCTTCTTTCCAGCTCCTCTGGTGGGGCTCCTACTTGCCTCAAGCCCCCAAAAGAGGATAGAGCTATCTGAAGGAGGCCGATCTAAAAGGAGGTGCTGACCCGTCTCTCACTTGAAGCTCAAGTCCCTTGAAGTTGTTTTGAGCCCGTTGCAGTTGGATTGGCACCCTTGGCCCTAACAGAGGCTGACAGTTATTAACAGGGATCTCCTGGCTGAGCTGAGCAGTCGCCAACAGCTCCAAGTCCCTGCTTCCCTTCCACACACTCAGCTCTCTGCACCACGGTGAGCCGCCACTATCCTGCTGCTCTTCTTCCTGGTTCCCTTTCTGCATCTCTTCATTGTCTTTTCTTGCTTCCTTTAAAAAAAAATGACCAATTTTTTGAAAATTGTTGAAGTGTGCTTGATTTTGCAAAATATTCTGAGGACAGGAGCATGTCTAAAGTAGGAAGAGAAGGCTCATCTTCCTGCGTCATGACTTCCCTCACCCCACTCCTTCGAGTTAACGCCTAGTAACAGCTTGGTTAGAATCTCTCCACTCCTTTCAGCCACGTACACTTGCACACGCAGAAATACACACGTGTATACACAATCTGCTCATTTCTAACATTTACATTTTACACACACACACACATTTGCAGCTACTTTTGCATTCTGCCTTCTTTCTTCAGCTTCTCATTGTGTCATTATTCAGATACCCCTCACTGTGGTTAATGGTTTCTTTCTATTGTATTGCTACTGATTAAGTGTGAATTCTTGAATTGTTTTCCTTGATTCATATGTATATGTGTACATATTAAAAAGCTCTGTCTTTCATATATACATATGCACATGTACATATACATACCTGAAAAGCAGAGAGACAGAGACCAAGATCTCTCATCTCCCATTTCACTCTCCCAAATGCCCACAACAGTCAAAGCTGGGCCCTGCTCAAAGCCAGAAACCCCAAGCTCCATGTTGATTTTCCACACTGCCATGAGGGGCAGGGACTC